TGTTGAAGAATTTCACAACAGTTGCAAAGATGCTTCTACTGAATGTAGCCTTTATATTATTTTTATATATATATATATATATATATATATATATAAATTGCTTATTAAAGCTGCATAAAAGTAAACATTATTATTTTTGAACAGGTATAACGAAGGCGAGATTCATTTCAATCTAATGGCCATAGTGACGGACAGAAAAACTTTGTATGAAAGGCAGAAGGCCAATGTTTGTGATCCCGAAGAATTAGAACGTTTGCAAGCGCTAATCGAGGAAGAGATCAGGAAGTCGAAGAGATATCAGATAGAGAACATCAGAAGAAAGCATAATTATTTACCGCTTATCATGGAACTTTTGAAAATTCTTGCAAAAGAAGGCAAGCTTGTGCCTTTGTATCAAAAAGCAAAAGAGAAAACACTTGAGAAGGAGTCGAAGAAAAATAAAGTTTAAACCGTAAACGAAATCGGGAGAAAGATTAAAAATTTTAATAATTGGTTGTACATTATGTAACGGAGAGACAAAAACGGAGAATTCATTGTATTAATCTTTTTTTTTTAAATAAAAAGCTATTAATAATTATTTTTTTCTGTGAAATACTTTAACATAATAATATATTGTTTTTTGTTAATTTGACCAATTTAAAGTATACATTAAAATTACACATTGTAATTTAAATATAAAAAGATATAATATATAAGTATAATACTTAATTTTATACAAGTCAATTTTCGGAATCAGTACTGCAATCAGTTTCTTGATCATCGGTAATTGTCTTGCCACTTTCCGTATTTAGCAGAGAAACTTTCCCATCTTTATAAATAATTTTAGGCAGAAATTTATCGGTTGGGGCTGTTTGGATTTCAGGGATTTTATTATGATATAAGTATTCCACAACATCTGTAACAATAATTTTCACATAACATATGCACAACATTTACAACACACGCAAATTGCTTATTGTTATTTACAAATATATTTAGATATTTCGTTACCGGCAAAATTATCCACGTTGTTCATATTGCATTCTTGTACGAGATAATAAAAGATTTTGCAAAGGAATACTGCAGTGGATCCTTCAAAGTGTCGTGCAACATTGGGCCATATAATTTCACGAGTATTAGATATCCCCTTTCCATACATACTGCAAAAGTAGGTCATATGCGTGTATTTACTATTTATACAGTGAATCGACAAGTGATTCATAGTGATTTATCAGTTATTTATGGGGTGACGTGTTGCTCTGTGTGAGAGCGCTAATTCACGACTTGTAGCTGAAGAGTCCCAAATCCGAATCCGACCGTCACCCCATGTGTGTCTCGATTTTGTAAGAGGATTATAAATTAAACGCCGTCAGTAAAGAAGTATAAAGGCGATGACAAATTGGTAATCCCGTTTCACGGGAATATCCATATTTCCATAAGATGTTAATGATTCACGAAAACCAATCTCGCGATAAATGTATCGTGCTACAATTATTGTAGTTAGAACGTAATGATACTCACTATTCAATTAATTGTATCTTGATATCGTTTAAATAAATCGGAACCACACTGAATAATTGTAGATGTAACTGATGTTGCCAAAATGTTCGCAAGACTTTTTCATGTATGTTCAGTTTCTCTTCCATTTTCTGCCACACCGGTTTGGGAAGCGCGGCATCTTTCAGTTCCCTTATGTCTTCACTTAATGTCACGCTGAGTAAAGCTTTTATAAATTTTCTGATCAACGGTAATGTCCATCTAACGTCAACTGTAATTAGATAAAACATATATTTGATGATAAATGGATACTCACCAGATATCTGGACATATAAATAATATTCAACAGCGAATATTATTACTAATAATTAGTATTTTTTTTGATCAGTGAATATTATTTTATCATAAAAGTTACTCACGTTCCGTTTCTGATTTATTTTGAATTCGATTTTTGAGATACTGATATCGTTTCCAGACCGACCGGCGTGTTCGTCTTAATAATTTTGCTAATTCACTATATTTAGTATCACGTTTATCGAGTTTATTCCGCATGTACCTTAAAATTTTTTTATCTTCTTTGGAAGTATAGCTAAGGCATAAAGATGATATGTGAGTGCGCGATTCATGTGACTTGAGATCGATTCAAGCTTGATTTGAGAACTTTCTTGTCTTACCGAGTGCGAGTGATTTTGTTACGATATAATACTTTAAATCGAGAATGAACACTGTGGAGAGTCCGCCAAGGTAAACCATTTGCCAAAAATTGAACGAATTTCTGTCTTTCCTCCACTTTGTTTATGTAATATCTGTCATTATGTCTCCAACAAAGAAATGGCTTCGTTATCGCTACATTCCAATCATGGAGCTGCAAATAACAACACATTATAATAAAACATTAATACAATAATATGATTATATTAATGATATTGTAGTATCTTTTATTTTAAATATTTCCGCTCTCTATCAAATTTGGGAGTTCCATTAGAAGAAAAAAGGAGAAGAAAAGGAAGTTTCTGGGCAACGATTAAAATAAGAACGTTATGCTTCAAATATAGATAACTTAGTTTGCCAATAATCTGTATTTTTTCATTAAATATTTTCGCTCTCTCTATCAAGCTTGGAAGTTCCATAAACTATTAAAAGAAAAAGGGGAAGAAAAGGAAGTTTTTGGGCAACGATTAAAATAAGAACGTTATTTTACTGCTTCAAATATAGATAACTTTGCCAATAATCTGTATTTTTTCATTGAATATTTTTACTCTTTCTATCAAGTTTGGGAGTTCCATAAACCATTCGAAAAAAAAGGAGAAGAAAAGAAAGTTTCTGAACGATGATTAAAATAAGAACTGTTATTTTACTGCTTAAAATATAGATAACTTAGTTTGCCAATAATCTGTATTTTTTCATTAAATATTTTCGCTCTCTCTATCAAGTTTGAGAGTTCCATAAACCATTAGAAGAAAAAAGGAGAAGAAAAGAAAGTTTCTGAACAATTAAAATAAGAATTGTTATTTTACTGATTCAAATATATAACTCAAGTTTGCCAATAATCTGTATTTTTTCATCAGACATTAAGCCAATTCGAGTATCACAGATATATTTAAGATATATACCTTGCAAAACTTCTTCCAATTTTTTCTGATAATTTTGTCCTCCACAGGTGTGTATGAGCCTTTTCGGATCGGTCCATGTTTCTGAAATAACATTTTCTCTCTGTTTGTTGGCGCGTTGGATCCGGTACGCTCTATTTTATGCTGCGGTGGCACCTTATGTTTCAGTTTTATGCATAGTTCTGACAATTTCTGAAATACAAAATAATTAATTAGTTGATGTACACAAGCTAAATAAATTGTACATAATGTTCAATATATCCCAGGTAGCACGTATTCGTTTCAGAAACGTTTCATAACCGACTCTTGAAAATATTTCTGAGTGGTTAGAATGTCCACTCAAAAAAAAGTTTAAAAAAACGTTTATTTTTGGTTAAAAAAAAAACAGAAATTTAATCAAAATATCATTTTTTCTCTATCTGTAAAAAAGTTTGCGCATTCGTTCTTTTCAAGCAAACTTTTTCACAGATAGAGAAAAAGTATTTCGATCATATTTCTCTACTTTTTTTTCCAAAAAGAAATGTTTCTTTGTCGAGTGGATATTCTATCCACTCAGAAATGTTTTCAAGGTGCTATCTGGGATAGTAATATCAAAACCAACCTTTATGTTACTTAACGACATTTCTTCCCATTCTTCTTCAAAAATTTTTAACTCTTTCAAAAGCTTCTTTTCCGTATTCGTTTTACGTTTTTTATTCTTAAAATAACATTTAGGCATTTGCCTTTTCATTTGAGACCTCAACGCTGTTCTGATTTCACGTTTCTTGCCAAGCGTTATGGAATGTGATTCCGCAAGTGTGTCGGTATCCTTCTTTTCACAGTCGCTAATGGAGAGAGGGTCTGTCACCGGATCCTTATTCACCCCCAAGTCATCCTCTCGTGTCACATCCATTATCGTGGAAAAGAAAATGTCTTTGCTGTCTTCGAACTTTATCACAGAATCTAAGTCGTGCAGCAGGTCGATACCCTCGAGGCAAGGAACATTTTCCGTATCATTTAAATCCGACTGGAATTTATCGTAATCGCTATTCGAGCTAATCGTCCTCTTTCTCTGCGGACACACACTCGTTTGAGCCATATCTGTAAATCGCGCAGATTTATCCCACTGTTTAATTGGACTCTTAAATAACGGACTTTTCAACGAGTCTTTTCGATTGTGCGAACGTGCGCTCTTATTAGGGCTATTCGTGTTTTCGTTTCTACAATTTGCACTATTAACATCCTGTGAATTATCTGTCCCGTTAGACAGACAGTCCGTAGACGGTACAGTGAATGTGCCATTTTCCACCTCCATAGAAACAACCTCATTGATTATCTGTGACTCTGAGTGGTTCGGCACACTGTCATCACGAGAATTCTCGATTTCTCCATTTACATGTCCACTTGTATTCATTGTCCGTACTTCGATACTATCTCAATCATTAAAATTTCCTTTCGCCTTCAATTTTATTTCTCTTTGTAACGCGGAACAATTGTAGTACAACGAGATCATATGCTATGTCGAATAAAATATATTTTGTAATTCTTTCCAGCCTTTATATATTTATCTGTTAAAATTGTACTTCGTAACAATACTTCAATAAAATGTTAATAAAAGCGTTTTACCGTGTTTCTTCCTCCAGCAAGCCGGGGAAGATTCTCGCTACGTTCCACCGGGTGGTGGATTCCAACCTCTCCTCGAGGTTATGTGACTTCCTTCCTTATAGCAGCTTCCTAATTGTTTTAATCACTATGAGTACATCTCTTTGTGACAGCTGGATGATTCTTCCAAGTTTTTTTGATGAGGTATTCAAATGATACCTCAATCTTTCCCCATTCATCGACCCAGCAAGCGGATTGAGGTAACCGGCTCCCTTTTTGGTCATGCGACATCACATATAAGGTTAGTTTGAGTTTCAAATCACGTGGCAATTATGGATAAGTAATGTGCTGACCTCGTGCAGGAAAATTGTAAAGTTTTTATGTCAGAGACATCGATAATCTAAATAAAATATTGAAATATATCAATATAATACTTGAGAAATAAAAATGATATGATAAAAAAATATAATAGATATTAATAAATATAATAGTATATGTAATAAGAAGCATGTAAATTTGCGCATTAGCAGATAAATTTGCGAAGAATTGATTGTATTTAGTAGAAAAATCAGCTTTCTAAGATCGGAAGAGCACACGTCTG